TAATAAATAAATAAATTGTTTAATTAAATAAAAAGAAGAACTTTTGATTTCATAGTCAGACTGACCACACATATGCATTTATCTCCTCGACTTCCAGAGACTCCATTATAATGACGATAAAGGAATAAACAACACAATAATGATGAGAACATAAGGCGGTGAAGGGGACATCAGTTTTGGAACAGTTGCTCTCATTTCCACACTACAGCTTTCCAAGTATTTTTCACATCATTATCCCATCTAATCTTTATAAAAGCCTATAAGCAGATTGTAGTATAATCTACATTTGACAATTTAGAAAACAGTGACTCAAAGAGATTAATTATATTGTCTAAGGTCACACCACTTTTTGAGTGGCAGGGGATGGGACCTAGGCCTCCTGACCTAATCCATGTGTTCCCATGTCACAAAGCCTCATCCTGGATGTTAGCAGAATGGAGCTCTGTATGGGAACAAGTATCTGCCTTAAAATAAAACACAGCAAAACAAAAAAAACGCCTCCCCATAAGACTGTGTGTCCTGATCTCTTCTGGCAATTCAAGGTTAGCATAGACGTCACTAAAGTATAGCTCCCCACCATGCTGACATAGCAGAATTAGTCCTAACAAGGTTAAGGATTACATTCGTCCCCGATAGCAAAGAAAGGAATGAGGCGATAAAGTCAATTTTAAAAACCAGTGAAAGTGCCTGAGCTGACCCTTTGTGAAGAAATAATCAGCTGCCTTCCTAGTTAGAATCAACAGCCAAGTGTCAAGATTTTTTTTTAGTGCCCTACCTGATAGGTAGGAAAACAGCTTTACAAGAGAAAAAAACTTCACAACACTCAGGTTACCTAAATTTTGAGCCAATAAATCTGAACCAAATGCAGACCCCATGTTGTTGTATAACTAACAGAAGTAAATAGTATTCATAACTTCTTCTCCTTTAAAAATTATATAACTTTTGGTATGCTGTTATTTACTTTTATAATAACATTTTTTTCAATATTGTCCTTAAAATCTCAGGCATATGAGTGAGCAGGGATTTTAAGATTTTATTAAACTAATTTCAAGAGTATGGAGGTTTAGTTTCTACAATAATGTCTCTTACAAATACATCTTGGTGAAGACAGTGAGCTAGTCTACAAAATGCCATACTAATGTAAGACATTATTAAATCATTTCTATATAGATATTCTTATTTGATCTCTACGAGGACCCTGTAAACAAAAACTCTCAGAATATCTTCTATCATGAAGATACACATCTCACGCATATGGAGGGTGGGGAGCCCCTGCACATTTTCTTTTCAGAAGGCAGTTAATTTAAAGTTCCATCTTTAACTTCCCAAAGATCCGGAATCTTGATAGATATGAAACAAATAGCCCTGAGAAACACTGTACAAGCTATAAGAGTATATTTATAGCAACCTTGAGTAGTCAGTCTAAGGTTTCTGCTGCTCTGTATATGCATTCTAGGATCATGCACAGCAGCAAACAGGAGACAAAATAAAACAAATATCTTAACATCCAATAAAACACCATTCGGTCTAAAATAAAAAGAAAATGTCAAGCAAATCTGCACACTACTTGGAGATCTTCAAATTCTTTTAGTCCCTAAAGATTGCTCCCACTATTTTTTCAAAGCTATACCATTCTTCCTGCCTCCCTCCTCTCTTCCCCAACTCAACGTTTTCTCAAGACGAAGGAGATGGACAGAGTGTTTAAAATCTCAATAAATCGTTAGCAAGTTTGACTGTGCAGAAAAAATATCAGGCATGCTTATTTGTTTCTGCCTGATGTTCACCATGCAACAAAATGACCTGAGATCAGATGTGTGTCTACTGCACAAGGCATTTCTTATGCCACATGTAAACAAGCTAAGTTGCTCAAGGCGGTTTATTAAGACGGTCACTCGGGCATGATTTGGCAACAAATTGAAGAAAAAAAGAGAAACACGGACTCCTGTAATTTTCTATGAAAATAATATCAAACGTAACAAGTCAGTGTATATTGTATGAGCAGACTCAGTGATCTTGCTGGACTTTGGGGCTCACTGGTGTATGGTTAAGTTTAAAATAAGTTCTCTCTTGGGCTAGTGCGTTCTGCAGCCATGGGCTACGAGCAGCTCAAATCAGCTCCTTCCCTTTATTAAGTCATGCTAAGTTTAGTTTAAAACCCTAAATGAGAATCAGTTCAGCAAAACGTGGTGACATTTGTGTGTTCAATAGGAAATGGGCTATATTCATAACAGTAAGGATAGGGACCTACATAACAACATCATAACTCTCATTTGTTTTTTTCATAACTCTCATTTTTGATTCCAGTCTCTCTCAGCTTCTCTGTGTAGCCATTGGGTACCTGGAAGCCATATTTTTCCATGTGATATTCAATATCTTTTAGCCACTTCTACCTAAGGGAAGAAAAATATAGATTTGATAATCAACATTTTAAAAAATACACTACATTTCCCCTAAAATTTTCCTTTCACCCATGGAATATACTTCCCTCAGACTCTTTTGGGTAAGTATTCAAGGTTACTCTGGGCATGTAGGATATACTGCAGCCTGGGACAATTCATTGGGGCATAATCTCCCTGCTTGAATAAGCTCTTCATTCATTAACAAAATCTTGCTGGATCGATGGCAGAAGGAAGGAAAAGCTCAAACTCCACTGGGTCATTAAGATATTCATATATCAGATCAAACCTCTTGACTCTGTTCTCCCAGAAGAGCCCGTAACTGTCAAAGTTCACAGTTTCCAGGGCAGAGCGCACTCGTGGCCCAAACGAGCACGGCGTCTAGCAGCCTTCTTTAGTTCTCCTTGAAGAGTCACAGAGGAAACTTTATCTCTAAAAGGATGCTTTTGAGAATTTTTTCCTCTTTATCCTCCAAATCGTTGCCTCGCCTGACCGTTTCTCATGTCTATTCCAGTGACATGTCCCCTCTCACCAACCATCTGACTAAATGTACAGCAATCTCTGCCACTTGACTACCCAAGTCCAAAATCTAACAGTTTTCCAGACACTCAGGGATAACCAGACCACAGCCATAATACCTGGGAAATAGAAAATATATATACACATACTGTTTTCCCTTCTGGAGACTAGAAGATGAGGAACCACTAAATCTTATAAATCCTTTTTCCCTCCCTCCTTTTCTTCCTTCCTTCCTCCCTTCCTTCCTTCCATCATTCAGTCAATTTTGATTTAAGTGTTTTATCTCCTCCACTAAACTGGAAGCTCCATTAAGGCTGGGACTCTGACTACTTTGCTTACCACTGTGTTGTTGGGCACTCTGCCAGGTACTAAGACAAATAAGCCACCTAAAATATTTGTTGAATAAATACATTTAGGCATTAGCTGAGTATCTAATGCAGGTCCAGGACTGTGCTAGTTATTGCAGAAAAAAATGTAAGACAAAATTTCTGTCCCTTAGGTGTACTTAACCTGGGTGGTAAAACATGAGCACAGAAACATTTCCCGTGATTTATTGACAAACTAAGTGGCACAGGTAGTAAGCGTTATAGTGGTTTGGGGAAGGGGGTGCTCGAGGATTGGAGAAAGCTTCACAGAGTAGGTAGGACCTCAGCGAAGTGCTGGATGGGCAGGATTTGGAAGGTAGAAAGGAGGAGGAAGGCATTCCAGATTGATAACTGCATGCTGGGCAGGCAAAAGTCATCCTGGCAGTTCTGATGACAGGAGGAAGGGAAAGGCCTGGCTAGAGGAGTATGGTGTATCAGAGGGAGCCAAGGTTGGTTAGGAAGAAAAAGCCAAATTGCTGGCCCGTCTTGAATGTCAGGTCCAAGGAGTGTGAGTAAAGGGTGGAGGGGGAGTCATTGAAAGTTCTTTAGCAGAGCAGAAGATGGTCAGTGCCGTGATTATCAGTTCTGGTAGACAAGGAGGGTCAGATGGATTGGAGGAGACAGGTTAATTCCTAGTAAGCAGCATCACTATCTTTTGAGAAAGCTGTTATCTGGGGTCTTCATGGGGGCAGCGCAGAGCACTCTTCCTCAAGGCTACTTCCTCTCATGTCCATTCTGCAGAACTTCCCAGATGTGCTTGGGGGTCCATGGGCCTGGCTGCAGTGACACAAGCATTGGCCTAGAGGTCCGCTGATTTCTTCAGCATCTGCCCATCGAAGGTCTGACCCAGGAGGCACAGGTGAGGTGAGTCGAGGAGAGAAATGCTGACGCCGGTGTCAGCAGGCCCACCCATCCAAACCTCCCTGAAAAGCTCTAAGCCCAGACTCTACCCTGCCCTCGTCCCAGAGGTGCTGGGGGGCAGAGGCACTGCCTGGGCTTTCTTAGGCCTAGGGCTCCCATCCGGCCGAGGTTGTATCTTTGGCCATTCTCTACTGCTCTCACCTGCCTGCAAGTCCTTTCGGATTGGGCTTTGGGTGAGTCGCTGGGTGCAGGGCGGCCACTGCATGGAGTGGGGGAAAGGGAGCTGAAAGGAAGAGGGTGCCGAGCACAGGCTTGGGGCAGGGGAGCACCGGGATAGACACGCAGCAGGCCCAGAGACTTAGAGGTGGTGGTGGAGGAGGGGGTCAGGGAAAGGGGCTGGGGGCCTGCGCGGAAGGCGAGGGGTGGCACACTCACTGTCCCCTGGACCTCCCGACTCCGACACTCGAGTCCCCCAAGTCGGCTCCCGAGGCTGAGTGCGCCCAAGGCCCAACCCCAGGGCAGGCAGCCCTGAGCCCAGCGGGCTTCCAAGGCAGCATGCAGCCTCCGCCTGCCAGATGTGCCTCGGGGCTGTAGAAACCCTCCAGCTCTTCCACGCCTACGCAGCAGCGCAGTAACCTCGAGCTCTGACCCACCCGGGCCCAATGTCATCTTGGATGTCTTTAGTCTTTCCAACCAGGAAGAGGCTATTGCAATTAATTACAATCATCCTTTATTGCTCACTGTGATTTTCATTTTATAAATCTTATTCTGACTGAAATGAATACCCCCATATGTACTGATTTTTGCCCGTTTAGGGAACAATATCACCTTTTCTCCACCTATTTTTTAAAGTCAGGTTTATTGATATAATTTACATTCAGTAAAATTCACCTTTTTTTAGTGTGTGTTTCTGTAAATTCTGACCAACATATACATGGCCACAGTCAAGACTTAGAATAGTCCTCTCTCCCCAAAAAGTTTCTTCTTGTCCCTTTGTACTAAAAGCCCTGCTGTTGAGGAAAGACTGTCCAACCCTATAGAAAAGTTTTATAACAGTTTATTTGAGCCAAGTTTTTGAGGACATGCCCCAAAGCAAGACGATGGATTAAGAAAATGCTCTGGGGCAGGCGTCCCCAAACCCTGGGCCACAGACCAGTCAGTGGCCTGTTAGAAACCTGACCACACAGCAGGAGGTGAGAGGCAGGTGAGCATGAGAGAAGCTTCATCTATATTTGTAGCCGCCTTCCAGCGCTAGCATCACCACCTCAGCTCTACCTCAGATCAGCAGGCATTAGATTCTCACAGGAGCACCCATCCCTGGTGCCAAAAAGGTTGGGGACCACTGCTCTGGAGAATGGCAGTTTTGAGTTCCTTGTATGCATTTAGAATCAAAGGAGAAACATAAAGAAAGTACATGAAATCCACTGGTGGTAGATTAAAAAGGCAGGAGAAAGCAAAGCGGGGAAATCTCTAGAATTGGGTAAAAAGCAAAATGGAGAAACATACTTCTTTTACATTGGTGGGTACAGGATAGTTAATATAGAGATGGTATGCGGGCAACAAGATAACAATGAGGGGTTCTGTGGTCTCATGCTCTGGTGTCTGCAGTTCTGCCTTCAAGGACTCTAGAAAATTACTCTGACATTTCAAAGCTATGTTATCCTAGATGCCTAAGAACAATGGACAAGACTCCCTTAAGGCAAAGGTTGATCTTTGGTAAGGAAGCTATAGGCCTGGGAGTGAGTATCAGCTATGACCTGCCCATTTAGGAATTTATAATCAGGCAATCCTATGCGGTTACTTTCAGTCACTGAGCTTGTCAGGCCTTCCATGTGCCCCCCACCCCTAGCTTGTTAGGTTTATTACATAGCCCCTTTTGCATTCACACCAAAACAACCATACATCTGTTCTCCCTCCTTTTCCAGAATGTCATAGAGATGGAATCAATACTGTATCATTCTTAGTCAATTTTGAATTGTATTTAGGAAAGCAACTTCACTCAGTTCATTCTTACAATTTTTGGTCAATTCACTGTGTCTACTAGGTATTATCATTATATCTTGCAGAAAGTTGTATTTATTTATTTATCTTGTTCTTCCACCCTTGTATCTTATGTATCTTATTTCCTTTTGTGGTTTTAACAAGCGTATCTGTTCATCAGGATAGTAAGGAAATATGGGGTTCCAAGTGAAAGGATATCTACATGGAAGATTTACTAAATTATATTCATTTTTCAATCTCATCTACCAATAACAATCTTCCTGATGTCAATTAGTTGTTGTTAAATATTAATAGGTATTTTTACTTTCTTAACAAATTAAACCCATGGGAAAAAAAAAAACTCTTATTGGAATATTTTTATAAGTTAGACTATTTCCAACTATAAAGTATGTAAAAATTAGTGTTTGGAAAGGTATCAGTTTTTTGGCAATCATGTAATGATGAAAACACTCCTAAATATTAGTTTTCTAAACACTCCCTCCATAAAATTTGTTCCTTTAGAAAAGCAGTCACTTTCCCACTCGTTAAAATGGCATCTTTATCTTGAAGAGACATATTAATGGGAGTTAAGGAAAGGGCTTTATCGTTTTCACTTGTGCTTTGGCCTTATTATACTATCTCCAATCTGTGGTGATTCACAAGAATCATCTGATAAGCCTTAATCCACTTAAACCACACACACATAAACTTCAACAAAGCAAACCACCATCAACTTATATTGAGTGGTTCCCAGTTTTCCCTCCAGTATCCAATGTGCAAGGCTGATTCTGGACCAGATTGCTTGTGACTATCACTCACACTGATCGATCAGTGCCTCCGCCACAGTTTTTTGTTTTGTTTTGCTAAATGACAAGTATGCGATGTAGATCAGTATGCCACATAGTCCAAATTAGAGGTCTCATATCAAGCCATATTTTAAATAGTAGCAAAAGCTAATTTTCTCTTTTTTTTTTTAAGATAAAAATAAACATATGTAGAAATTTTCATATTTTCTCTCCTTCCCTCCAAGGATTGTCTTATGCGTACCTCCCCACAATCCACCTTGGATGCTACCGGTTTTACAATACCAGGATAGTTCAGAAATGCAGATTTGGTTTCAGTACACAGAAGCAGAGCTTTCCAAAATGGTCAGCATCCCTAAGTAAAGGATGTTCTGGAGCAGGGGTCCCCAACTTCCAGTCCCCAAATACCAGAAGCATTCAAACAGAAGCTAGATGTCTACTTGCCAGAGATGCAGAGCTAGGGCAAAGGGACTGAATTGAATTACTTTCAAAATCCTTTCCTTTGTATTAAGTACTAAATATGACAGGTGAAACCCTTGTTCCTATTTATAAGGAAAGTAACAGAGCTAGACCAGTAGTCAAAAGACCTACTCAAGCTCGGTGACCTTGGGTAAGTCATTTCATCTCCCTGCTCATCTATAAAACCTGGGGCAAGAATTTAATCACCTTTGAGGTCCCATACAGCTCTAATACTCTGGGGGGTTTTGATTCTTCTTTACCAAATATTATATGTTGGTTCTTAAAACATACTCTTTAGAAAGAAATTTTTTAAAATTTTAAATTAGAAATAGAAGTTGAAATTTTTCGAGTGCCTCTTTGGTGTATATTATAGTGATATATGACTTTATTTTTTCTTATTAATATGTATTTCATAGCTATTATATAAACTTTGTAATTCTGGAATTTATCATTCTCCAAAATATTTCCTATTTTCTAAGATTTTATTAGGACTTTTCCATCTATGTACATAAATAAGAATCCCCTAAATTTCCTTATGTTATCTTTTTTTTTTCTTAATGAAACCCACATTAGTTAGGCAAATGAACTGAGTATCTTACTATCATTTTCTGTACTTTGGGAGTATATAGAAATGATTTCTTCTTTGACAATTTAGAAAAGTCTTGGGAAAGCCATACAAGCAAATGACATTTTAATTGGTTATTTTTGAAAACATTTCTCATAAACGGTCTGGACATATTCTCTTTTAAATGTCAGTTCTGTAATAATAAATCTTTATAGGGAGCTAGATATTTTGATACTAGTAATCAAATTTTTAGCATCAAGTTGACAGATAACTTTTCAAATCTAATTGATTTATTTTACATATCCTCTATTCAACTATAAATTTACTAATTTGTACTTTTATAATTGAGTTGACACTTTTTAATCTATAAGAACCAATTAATGGTTTCTTATATTTTCAAATTTTTGTTATTCATGCTTCATTTTCTTATTCCATTTTGATTTCTTTTTTTATTTCTAAATTCTAAACACAAATCCCTTAAAATGTTTTTTTATTTCTACCCTTAGCCCTGATACAGAGATTTAAAGCATGATTTTTTTTCTTTTCTTCATATTACTGCTTTGGTATCATCACATAAATTTTCTTGCATAGAAGTTGAATTTTCATTAGTTTAAAAATATTATCCTCCAACATATCCTCTATAACCCAGGAGTTAAAGAAGCATTTTTTGTTTCCATATGTTTGATCACCATTTAAATCTACGTAACCTGTATATTTCTATGAGAAACAAACTATCAAGTTATGTTTACATTTTGGCCTGTTTTCACATTTCTGGCTATTTTTCTTTCATGTATTTTAGCATTATGGTCTTTAAAACAACTAAATTCAGTACTACCAGGTTTTTATTATTTAATGTAAATTTTACCTTTATTTACTATTAAAATTTTGATTGTGAAAAATTTAGTTTATCATATATAATGTAAACAATCACTGCTTCTTCATATTTGTTCCAGCATGATGAAAAATACTTAGACCATCCCTTTAATTTTTTTTCATCTTAAGTATTTCTTTGCTTCTTGGATACTTGGATACTTGGCTACTTGAACTTCTGCTTTCTAAATTGCTAACCCTGTTTTTAAAAATCTTTAGTCCTTAGATTTTTCTAAGCAGATAATCTTACCATACGATAACAATAGTTATACTTATTTTTAATTTCTGCCCTAGGCATGGCCACCAGCAAAATGTTAACTAGAAACACTGATAGTAACATCCTTGGATAAATGCTTCGAATGTTTTACTCTTAATATGACATTTGCTGTAAGTATGCAACACTTCTCTTAATGGTAAACTGAGCCTGTTTACATTTAATACTTATAATAAATGTTTCTAGAATAAAAGCATAAGTGAATTCCTTCATACCTAGTATGTCTTTACCTTAAGTTAATGTGTATATGTACAATGAGGAATACATGCAATATATGACTAGTCAATTTGATGATATATAATATGATTTAAATTGGACTCTTCTTTGTTTTTTCTTTTAGTGAAAACATCATTTTCTTATGTCAGCTTTCTCCCAAACCCTTAGTAAATTAAAAACTGAACTGGAACAGGATAGAAACTCAAAATAAAGACATTCAGACTTGCCTATAGACAATGATAATGCCATTTAACGGGATGAATTCAACAAATATGGGTAAATAACTACAAATATAAGGTTTGCCCCATGGCTCCACCCCACACTGCAATCACTCACAGTAATTCAGCTGCCTTTGCATTTGGCAATAATGTCATACACATGAATTTGCTGATTACTAGCAAAATTACAAAATGAACCCAAGGCCACTTAATCAAAAGTCACAACAACAAAGAAATTCTAGGAATGCAGGTCAAGGCAAGAGCTTGCAGTTGGCTAGATATAATCTTTTAAATATATATATATATTTTTTTGTCTAATTTTTATTTAGGAATTTGCTACAATGAATAAAATAAGTATCTCCTCTTAGTTATTAGAAAAGAAAACAAGTATTACCTATCACCATTCTGTGACCATAAAATTAAAATATTTCCTGAATGTATGATTTAAATAAAATATCTTTAAAAATAATATTAATTATTCTTACATGTTCACAATAGAAGCTCTATTTCTGAATGTAACACACTACTCAGTATTTGCTTAAGAGTCACATTTAGACAATATGGCTTTTGACATTAAAGTTCTATGAGAAAAGCGAAGACATCTTTTAACTTTGCTTTAATATCAAACTAATAGAGCAACTTTGAAAAAACAGAGCAACTTAAAACTTCAATATGCGCATGGGTTAGTCTGATTCAAGAAATGCTTCCAAAATTCAACCATCTAGCTGCTTTTCAGGAGAAACTGTACATCATCACAAATCTTTTCTAACTTAACTTTTGGAGAAGAAAATGGAAAATCAACCCCACATTACAATGGTTTTGTTAGATATTTCCTCCTCAGCATCAGGCAAAGCCTTCTTATAAACGGTTCTATTTCAACAGATGATTCAACTGATCCTGTAGATCCGATGACTGCTCAACACTAGAAATTAGGATAGAGAGAAAAGTTTATCCAAGATGAGCAATAAAGACATCTCTTCGTGTAAATTATTTGTACTTTAATGTATAAGAACTGTTGACGCTAAATCAAAATTTACATTGGCCTATTAGTGTCCTAGGAGTTTTAAAACTACAAAGAAAAGGTTTGTATAGCCAATTAGTAGTGTAAACAATATTGCAAATTTAATCCACTTAAAAAAAAACAAGGCTGTTCAATGACTTTAACACATTTACTCTACTTATTATTGCCAATGGAAAAAGTTTTTATTCCTTAAGGTTGGTCTCCACACCCTGTAACTTTTAGAAAGCCTTTACTAGCCATGCATGCCTTTGATTTACTGCATGCCTTTGAAATATATTATATTCTTTATATCCCAAATGAGCTATCCCAGAGTGTATGTCAACTGTCAGCCAGAGCTCTGCACTGATCTTAGGTCCAGCGGTATAATTCCCCCTAGCCTGTGTCAGTTGGTCACCCATTCCCCTACCTTTGGGATTACTTACTTCTTCTGAATAGCTTCTTGCCTAAATCAGAAAAGGAAAGAAGAAAATAAACAAAAGAAAACTCAGTGAACTAGCAGAAGTTATTTATGGCCAGATATACATAGGCAGAACAAATTTCCAGCTTATACACATTCAATATTTCTGTCTATCCTAAGTTGGTGCTTTTGATCCCCTGTTCAATATGAGTGAAGAGCTGCTAAAAAATATAGATTCTTAATCTAAAGAGGTAATAATACTCTATCATAGAGTGTGGGATATGGTCAAAAAATGACATGCATGCCTCAAATTCAGTTTATGTATGCGGTGTCAAATGGTCACATACCTGATATGTACACACCCAAAGAATGAACGTCTAGCTATTTAAATAGCAAGAGTTAAATTTCCAATAGAACATAAGTAAAATATCAACTATGTAAAATATAAAACAAAATGACATAGATGAAAAGCTAATAAAATTATAATTTTATCCAAAATTATAATGGAGAAGGTATCTACATTTCAAAATTTCCTGGATGGTTTACATATAGCCAGGGCTGGCCTATGTAGGATACAAGTCACAGTTACACTTGACTCCCCAGTGAAGGCGCAGACTCCTCAGGAGAAAGCTCAGGCACAGTCGACAAATACTGATTAAGTGCCTACTGGGTGCCAAGCACTGTGCTAGCATGGTCCTGGCATGGGCCCTGCCCTTATGGGGCTTACAGTGTCTTTCTCTGAGGAGCCCTCAAATTAACACAGAAAGGTTTACAAAAGGTGGTCCCTGCTCTTGATCTCGCCCTCCAACCCTAACTTCTGTAGTCTCACGCATCTTTCCCAGAAGGAACTCATCCTTGACCAACCCCACCTGTACTCCCAACTCCTGCCTCCACAGGAAAATGTGATGAAGCACCAAGGCAACAAGAAGCAGGCTGAGGATAATGATTTTGGAGTAAGCAGTCAGTGGAGAGGGCATACTCACTGGTATTGAAGATGGGTTGTTATGATTGCCATTTTCCTTAAACTCTGCATTAAAAAAACAACAACAAAGAAGTAAAACATTCTACTTCCCTGGAGCCATACAAACTATGTATATAAAACCCAAATCATAAAAGAAATGGTTTCTTACATCTTCCGAGTGCAAGATGGCATCTTCCTGTAGTACCATGTTTCGAGCTGCCTGACCTAGCAGCTAAAAGACAAAAATAAAATGGTAATAATCAAAATTTCCAAAATTCCTGCAATCTTCTCTCTGCAGCTGTTATACTACCGCCTTCTCATCTCCCCCACTCTCCCATACAAACACTCCAAATGTAATAGAGGGTAATGTTCCATTGTTGAAAATCCATTTCACTGTCACTGTAGCAGTTCTGGCAGGGGACTCGACATCTGTTCCAAAGGCCACTGCCTAAGAATTCCAGTGTTCCACAACTGCTGAGCTCTCTGCATAGCTTATTAGTCAAGTGTGAGAGAAGTCTGCAAAAAACCTTTGCACAAGCCCAGAGGGAACCTAACTTCTGATTCTTTAAAGGCAGTTTTGAGATTTGGGGTTGTTTGAGAGGAGTGAGGGGGGCAAGGGTTAGGATAGACCTGAAAAGGAAAGAAGGAATGTAGCTGCTTAGAAATGGAGTGAGAGCCACAGAAGGGGGAAAAAAAAAAAAAAGGCCTGGGAAGAAGCTCAGGATTTAAAGTAGGAAACCACCAAGTGAAGGATGCCAGATAGGGCTGGGGAAGAGAAAAGAAAGGAGAATGTGGAAGCGGATTGTAATGAGTTCACTAATCGCTGGGTCCTGGGACCAAGAGAGAAAAGCTGACCTATGATTCAACTGGGTGGCCTGTGGTCAAGGAGATGTGACTCAGCACTGAGAGGCAAGAAGAGCTCAGAGATTTCTGGCCTATTGTTGCATCCTGTTCCTGGCAGACGTTAACTCCACCCATGTAAAGGGAGCTACCGTTATGTGTCCTGCTAATCTTCCCTGCTCCCTTGGGTCTGACTCTGGTGAAAAGGAGACCCATGACTTCAAGTTAACCAGGAATACCAGCACAGCCACAGCCCCCAGAGTCCTTCCCCCATGGCAACTTTTTCTTATTTTCCTTTTTAAGTTCTAAAATTAATAAACCTTTACAAGCTTCTAAAGTCAAAACAATAAAGTAAGACCTCCCATCCCTTTCCCTTCCCCTCCCTGTTCTCTCTCACCTACGCATAAATACTTTAAATTAGTTTTTGGTTTATCTTTCCACTGTTCCTTTTTAAAACAAGGGAGAGATATGCATATTCTGTCCTCTTTACTTAAAATGTAACCTACTGTATGCCCTCTTCCACATCCTATTATTTTTACTTGACAGTATACACCAAGCTGGATCTACAGTACTATACACTGAAAGCAGCAGAGTATTCCACTATCCAGACGTCCCATAAGAGTATTCAACCAGTCCTCCACTGTGGACTTTGGAGCTGTTTCCAGTCTTTTGCTATTATGAGCAGTGCTACAAAAAAAGTATCTTATATACCTGGCATCTTTTTGCCAGCATATCTTTGAGACAGACTCATAGAATCATGATTGTGACAGCTGGACCAGAGGGTTTTAATTTTGCTACATACTGCCGAATTCCCTTGCGACAGAGTTATATCATTTTATATTCTCATTCACAATGTATGAGAGTACCTGTTCCCTGCTGTGGCCACTTTTAAGAAGCAAAGTCCAAACTCCTATAGATGGGGGATGATGACTGACAAACTAATGGCAGAAAGGAAGAGTTCTATTGGAATTGTCATTCATTCACTCATTCAGCAAATATTTATTAAGTGCTTATAATATGCCAGTAAGAGACGCAGTCACTGTCCTTACAGGGCTCACAATCTGGGGTTACAAAAAAGGACACAGGCACTACAATAATTTGTTGTAAGTACTGACAAGGAAGCGCCGGATGCCTTGAGAGCATGAGAACAGAGGAGTGGGGGTATCTAACCCATTTCACAGGTAGGTGTTCAGGGAGGGCTTCCTAAAAGAAGTGACTTCTAAGCTAAAGCCTAAAAGATGAGGTTTAGAATTTGTCTTAAATGTAATTTTACAGAAAAGTGGTATGATCAGATTTACCGTTTTAGAAGTGTGGTAAGCAGAATGGACTAGAGGGGGCACTAAAGGTAGAGAGATTGGTTAGCAAAATATGGCAGTAGTCTAAGCAAGCAGTGAGAGTGGCCTGAACCACAGAAGTGGCAGTAAAAAAAAAAGGGGGGGGGTGTAAATGAAAGACATTTAGAACATAGACTTGAGGGGACCTGTGACTGCCTGAAATGCAGGAGCTGTTGTACTGTAGAACAGTGGTCCTCAAACTTTTTGGCACCAGGGACCGGTGCTCCTATGAGAATCTAATGCCTGCTGATCTGAGGTGGAGCTGAGGCGGTGATGCTAGTGCTGGGGAGTGGCTGCAAATACAGATGAAGCTTCGCTCGCTCGCCTGCCACTCACCTCCCGTTGCACAGACCGGAACCTGTCGGGGGCCTGGGGGCTGGGGACCCCTGCTGTAGTACCAAGGCCTTTTCTTTGATGATAGATATATTCAGTGGCCTTGCGCATCATTTTCTTAAATGAACCACATCTAAGGTTTCCTGTTTGGGTCTCTTTAAAGTGAAACATCTTGAATATACCTATAAAACCATCTGAGTACAAGTTTTTTAGATTTCTAGGAATTTTCCCCCCGGCTTTTACCACTGTCTTGCTCATAATTAACTCGGTAACAGTTTGTCTTAGCACTCCACTTCGACCTCATCGATAGCAAATCTTTTTTTTTTTTTTTTCCACTCATATTTCATCATCTTCCTTATTATTTCGTTAACGTAGGTGCACTAGCAAGCATAAGTGCCTTACACGGGTTTAGGAAAAAACACAAAGGACCACTACTAAGCGTACGATTCAACTGGAGGAGAAGTGCAGGTGTCATGAGAGGAACGTAACAGCCACAAGCATTCGTTGCGCTGTGGGCGCAAGTTGCTGTTTTCCCTCACTTTTGCTCCAGCCCTACTGGCCTCTATACTTTCCTGTGCACATTCCCATCTCAAGGCCTTTGCGTTTGCCACTTCCTCTATTTGGAACTCTCTGCCTCCACATGTCCACATGGCTTGCTCCTTCACTTCGTTCAAGTGTCTGTTCAAATGTCACCTGCTCAGAGAGCCCTTCCCTGACCACTCTGTTAAGGTAAACTCTTTCACCACTCTATTCCCAGCTGTATTTTTCACAGCATTTATAACCAGCCAATTTTTTATGTTTCATTTCTCTGTCTATTCACTGAAATGTTAGCTTCCTAAGTAGAGAGATTAATTTTGTTTATCACCTCTCCCTTGAATAGCTCCTGACACAGAGCAGACAATGAATATTTCTTAAATGAATGCTGTGGAATGAGTGTTTCACACACAGAAATCATCGGAATAGCTATGTGGATTCGGTGGAAGAGAGAAGCAATGCTCCATGGGCTGAGAAGGACTGAAACCCAGTAAGACACTCCAATAACCTCATAGTCTGCCAAAGGAAATGGCAAAAACATGTAAGTATAGAAAACGGCGATATGGTATTGATAAGTGTCATGTAAGAGATCCAGTAAAAAGACCACGTTCAGAGACAAGAGATGATACATCAACCCTGCCTGTGAAAGTTGGATTGGTTTCAGCTTAACTCAAGCCACACCACTTACTGAAAAATGTGAAAATGTGAAAAATACACGGGAGGAGGAACAGGAATGAGCAAGCCACATCGGGGCAGTCATAGCAGCTTTTTGGACACTTAATCCAGCTAGTACCACATGAAAGGTGTGGTCCAAGAGTATGGGCCTCGAACCAGTCTGCTTAGGTTTGAATCCTAGCTCTACGCATTCCTAGCTACTGTGTGACCTTGAACAAGTTAAATTCCTCTCTGTATCCTCTCTGTATCCTCTATGTATACCTTCTATTCCAAGTGTTTAGATTCATTTGTCTGTTCTTTCATTTAATTCTTGTTCTTTAAGGTATAATTTATGTGTGATAGCTATATTCTTTTAAAGTGCACAATTTTTGAGTATGTATTCTCTCTGTATCCTTTATTAGTGATTATAAAGACTTAACAAATTAAACTACAGAAAACACAGCAGTGTCCAGCACATAGTAGATGCTCAATAAATGTAAGTTTATTATGATGAATATGGATGCTCAGTTCATGCTAGTGGTTAACTATGGACTATAGACACCATCTATTTTTTTTTTAATTTATATATTTTTACTATGTTTCTCTCCAAAAAAGATTCAAGACAATTTATACCAAACTGTGTGTGTGCACATACATACACACATTTTCCTAAAAGTCATGAAAAAGAGAAGGAAGTACGTTTACCACTAAAACTGACATGAGAACTTCTGTGCAACCAAGGCAAAAAGTGAAACACAATGAGTTGCATAATTCTTATTTGGTAAAAGGCAATATGACAATTCTTCAAAAGAGATAACTTTCCTCTGACGTTGAATCCTTAAATGAATATATCATGTGGGACCTCACACAAAGCATCTTTGGGATCGCCAGACTACTGACTTCAAACAAAAGTGTTATGGTAAATGCAAACGCTTCATACAGTTGTTTCTTGTAGCCACTATCAATAAAAGCTAAGGAAATAACACAAAAGCTAATTCTGTAAAGACAAGTCTATTGGACCCTAAACTAATATGAATAAAACTGCTATGAACCTTCATGTACAAATCTAAAGACTTGTGGACATATTAGGCTTGCTTCTGCAACTGCATAACATAACAACACAGAAACTGATGAAATATGAGTAAAAAAATTAAAGAGTTGCTATTTCTATGAAAACTAACTCAAAAATCAAAAATATTTGTTGAAGGTGAGTAGCTAAGATACACTGCTAAGTTAATTATGAGCAAGACAATGGCCTACAGGACAAAGTCATAGAAATCTAAGATTGTACTCAAATTGTTTTACAGTTGTATTCAAGATGTTGTTCCACTTTAAAGAGACCACATCTGGACATCTTAAATGACATGCTATGTGTGTGGTTGATTTATGTAACAAAATGACAGACATAGTTTCCATTTTCCTTGGGTAAAAACTTAGGTGTGTAAATGGCCAGGTCAATAAAACCCATTTTGTCCCTTCACTTGTCAATGGGAATTTGGGTTGTTTCCACTTTGGTGTTATTACGGATAAAGGTGCTATGAACATTTACAAGTCTTTGTATGGACATAGATTTTCATTTCACTTGGGTGAATATCTAGTAAAACAGACAGGTCTTTTTGGAGAGAGATAGCGTGTACGTATATAAAGCTTTCTGTCATGAAAAGGCATCAAATAATTCCATACGTGGAACCAGCCTGATAAAGGGGAAATCAGGGCAAAGAAGAAAGCTAATCTAAGAAACAGAAAACCAAGAACGTGCCCAGAAAGACAAGTCAGAAAAGAATAAACTCAGACAGATGATGCACAAAATTAGGGAAGAAATACGGGACGTTGAGGGCAAAATCATACGGAATTTCGGGGCCGAAAGGAACAGATCTTCGCTAAAGACAATCCCGAGAAACAAATGAGAAACTGGTTGGGATCACTGTCTCAACTGTCGTCCTGCAACAATCACCGCTTTAAAGTAGATTCCCATCATCTCGTTTCCTCCCCCTCCTACAGCGTTAGTCGTCCCAGAGACTACAGAACCCAGAAGGCAACGCTCCACGAACGAGCGCTAGCCTCCGCTACCGGCTCACAGCCTACAATTCCCAAGATGCAACGCGACGCCTTCCCACAACCCTGGAAGACGGGCTGTGCCTCAGGGTAAGAGGCCCGGAGAGCTCTCCCAGCTCACCTCGGAGCTCCGGGAGCCCTTCAGCACCTGCTTAGTGAGCGCGATCACGTCAGTACCGCAGGTGTTCACTTTCTCCGTGAGAAGCCCCTTCACGGACTGACCGAATCGCGCTTGCGAATCTGGCGTCCCTGTCGCCATCCCCTCAGCTAGTGAACGCCTCCGCACGGGTGATGGCGAGGCGTCAGGGCCAGAAGACCGGCAAAGCGGAAGGAAAAGTGGAGGGTTTCCCCCCCCACCACCCGCCGTGGGAAAAGGAAGGGACGCATGCGCCTACGGACGTTAATCTAGCCCAAGTTTAAATTATTTTAAAATACTCAGGTGATCCCTAAGGAAGACAGAGCCCAGGCAAACACCTCTGGAGGGGTTGGAGGACACTTTCGGTAAAACCATGGTCTAATATCAGAAGGCCTAGATTGCAGTCCCAATTCTGCGGTTTAGTTGTTTGGCTGCAAATTATTCAACCTCTGCATCTTGTGCTCATCTGTAAAAAAAATAATAATGTTAAAGTCCCCAAAGACTTAAGATCATTCAGTGCCATTTTAACAAACATTTCATGAACGAAATACCAAACACTGTGGGCTGAGGATGGAGAAAGAAATGAGATACAGTCCAGGTCTCCAGGCAGTTCTCAGGCTGTTGAGGCATGTAAACAGGAACTAGGAAGACCAACCCAACAGAAGAAAATGGCAAAGTTCACAACAGGCAATTTTTAAAAACCAAATGGCCAATATACGTAAATTCTCAACGCCACTAGTAATTTTTAATGATAAATGACCTCTTTGTTCTGTTAGAAGCAAACATTACCTTGGAAATAGTATCTAAAATATTTCATGTAGCTCTATTTTTTTAGCTAATGCACAAGAGAAGTGAGAATGGCATATTGTAAATTTTATTTAAAATCACCTATACTCGGGATTAACATTACCTTCTATTCCAAGTGTTTAGATTCATTTGTCTGTTCTTTCACTTCTTGTTCTTTAAGGTATAATTTATGTGTGATAGCTATATTCTTTTAAAGTGTACAATTTTTTGAGTGTGACAGATGTGTAACACCTGTGAACCACCACCACTATTAAGATACAGAACATTTTCATCACCCCCAGAAGTTTCCAAGTGCCCCTTTGTAGTCCACCTGTGCTTCAATCCAGGCAACAACTGATGGGCTTTCCTGCACTATAGATTAATTTGTATTTCTAGAAAGTTATATAAATGGAATCATACAGGAAATACTTTTGTGTGTGTGACTTTTTTCACTCAGCATAATGATTTCGAGAGTCAACCACATGGTTGTGTGTGTCATTAGTTTGTTTCTTTTTACTGATGGGAAACATTCCATTGCTTAGGTATACTTCATTTTGTTTATCCACTACTTGTTAATGGATATTTGGGTCTATTTGGGGACTATTATGAATAAAGCTTCTATGAACATTCATATACAAGTCTTTATGTGAGCTGTTTTCATTTATCTTTGGTAATATCTAGGAATGGAATAGCTAGGTCATATGGTAGGTGTTTAACTTCTCAAGAAACTGCCAAACCATTTCCCAAAGTTGTTTACTATTTTACATTCCCAACAGTGGTGTAGGAGACTCCAGTTGCTGCACACTCATAAACTTAGGGAAGATTGATTGTCCTACAGCCATGGTAACAAGTAGCCACCTGTGGTAGACATACTGTCCACTGATAGCTGGTTTTCATGACCCCCATATTCTGGTTTTCATGCCCTCGTGTGGCCCCCTCTCTTACTTGTGAGAAGAGCCTTCTGACCAATAGTATATGCATAGGTGATGGGAGACAGATGATTATGTGTACATGATTATGTGACTACATAAGATTGTAAGGCCCATCTTGCTGGAGTCACTCCTTTGCAGGCTGTAAGGACCTTGTTGAAGGACTTCATGTGACAAGGAACTGCAAGCACCATCTAGTCACTGAGAGTTGAGCCTCTAGCTGACAGCCAGCATAACAATGAAGTCAAATAACCAAAAGTAAATGAATGATACCAACAACAAGGCATATGGGGAAGCATATTTTTCCCCTATCAAGCCCCAAGATGAGAACCCGGCCCTGCCCACAGCTTAATTGCAGCCTTGAGAAACCCTAAGTATGTGACTTAGAAAAGCTGTACTTGGATTCCTGACCCACAGAAACTATAAGATAATAAATGTGTTTTGTTTTAGTCCACTAAATTTGTGGTAATATCATTATATAGCAATAGAAAACTAATACACCAGCATAACTTGTTTGAAATCTGTTCAGTCAATGACAACTCACCTCAGTAAATCCCTTTTACAGACCAAGCAATCACAGTCTGTCCCTCATTTCCTGTATAGATATTGATATAAACAAAACCAGTCCATATTTGTATCTCTGAGTTTTCATGCTGTGTCCTTTGACCAACTTTAATGTCCTTAGCAAGGTATACCAGAGCCTTCTATTGATAATTATCTGTGTTCCTTAAAATGTAGCCATGAATATTTTTGTTAGTAATGGCTGGAATGGCATGAAAACCAAGATAAATATCAAACTGGTCATAGTGTCGATTATAAACAATCACCTTTCACAAGACTGCCAGGAGGTATGGCCCCTGCATTCTTTGTCTTGTCTATTATTAGTACCTGAGCTATGCTATTTAAAAAGTACTATAACAGGTTTGTTAGCAGAGAATAATTTGCACAGAACTGCTAGATCATCTGTCTGCTCCAACCCTACATTCCTGTAAGTAAATAACAGATAATTTTATATTCTGTAGAATTGCCTGCTTTGTTTGTTGGTCTTAAGATACCTTCTCATTGCAGTACCCATTACATCTTGGCCCCACTGTTGGACACTTCTGAGAGTCAGTCATTCAGGGATAGATTCATGTAAAAAAAATCATACCTCAAAGAGCCAATCAATCAAAAATTGCCTCCCCAAAGTAATGTCATGTCTACAGATGTTATCAACAAATTTATATCCATCAATCCCTGAAGTCAATGCTTCCCAAAAACTCTATTATGATCAGCAATCTACTCTGCCTGGAGAGACTGCCTGCTCTCAATAAATTCAATTTTGTCTTTTTATTTCATGATTTGAGTTTTATACTTATCACCTTTTGACAGTTCTAGAGATTCCATCAAGATCAGTTTGAAGACCCTCAATTGGCAGCATTTCTAGGAAACTCAGATCAAGAGGTGAACTCACTGGACCTTTTGTTTGGTGTCATATTGTTTGACAAATATTTTTGCCATTAACATGATTATTCTCATGTTATTCTCCTGCAGCTTGCTTTGCTTTTGCTGTTGTTTATCTCTATATACAAAGTAAGTTTCAAAGGCTTTTGCTTTTTCCAGGATTATCTTGTTTGTTTGTTTTTTTTAATGTGTCCCACAGGGAATGGATGGAGTCACAGGCATGATAATCTCCAACCCATTCCAAACTGGCCCTTGAGGGTAAATAGTTGAGGTCTGTTAGACTGGAGACTGGCTGACATTATCCCTTTTGCTCACGGAAACTACTCAACATTTTTCTACTAGTTTGACTGACTAATTATGAATCATGGTTACTTTCTCCTATTATCACCTACTGGTGTAACTTTATTAATACAGTGTGCTGGCTGGAAAATTACTGCTTGGCTATCACCCATGGGAACATCGGCATCGCCCATGGAAACATAGGCTATCACCCATGGGAACATAACATTCTAACAATAAGCTTTCTGCTTCTGTACCTCCGCTTGCACAACCGACCTGTGGGTTGACAGGCAGTGAATAGGAGAAAAATAGACCTTTGTGTTTAAGACAGAATGAGGAATGGGATTTAGGGCTTAAAAACCCTGTACCTCTACATTTCGGGGCTGCTTAATTTGGGGTCTGCGTACCCCTGGCAGACCCAGCTGGCTGAATAAAGTGCATGTTTCCTATAACTCACTGAGTTCTGGTGGTCCGTGTGTCTTTCCGGGGCTGGTAGCTACAGCATTTGGAGGCCCCAGCGAGATCTCAGGGAGTGGCCCTGGGATCTAAGACTGGACTGGCCTCCGAAGCGGTTGCTGTCCCTGTTACGGATTCAAAGGGGTGGCCAACCTGAGACATTCCAGGGCCCTTGAATGCCACAACTGGGTTAATGCAATCATCAAGGATGCAACTTTCAGGACACGCTCTTTGTTCTTGGTCCCGACGGGCATCTGGAATCTCCGAGGCCTCGGCATCTAGATAAAAAGTACCTTTCTGTTTCTGTTGACCGGTCATTGGGGGTCCGTGGAGAGACTGGATGCAGTCATATCTCCCAGACCATGGCCAAGCCGCAGGACGCCATCTCCTGTGCCCTGTTGTCGGGTTCTGTTTATTGTCTCTGGTCTTGTCTAGGTTGTAGATGGCGGACTTCTCTGGGTCCACCTACATACACCTCAGTAATTGCTCTCGTCTGAGTGTCTGTTTTGTGTTTTGGGTTTTCTGCGCAAGCGATGTGGGGAAGCCCAAGTTCACAGAAGACACCCTTGGGGTGTCTCCTGCGACATTTCAAAGAAGAGTTTGTACAAGGAGCTAACTATGGTATACAGTTTTCTCCAGGCCAGACTAAGAACATTGTGTAAAGTTGAGCGGCTGTCTTTTGATGTAAACTGGCCTCCTGAGGGTTCTTTTGACAAGAGTTTAATGAGAAATGTTTGGAAGATTGTCCAAACATTTGTCATGGGAGATCCGAGACATCCTGATC